AGGAGTTTTTAAAAATCACATTTCCCAACTCCTACTAAATCATGTTTATAGGCAAGCGTTAGGGAAAGGTCGATGAGGAACATCATTTTGGCTGGATTACACTGACATCAATTGAACCTGAGCAAGTGACAAAAAGAGAGACGACAGACATTACATGCCACCTGCAGGAAGGCAATAAATATACACCACTTCAATGAAGCTGATTTGTGGTGGTTTAGTTGCTAAGTCATGTCCCGCTCTTGCGACCCCATGGATTGTGTAGCTTGCCAGGCTCCTCTTCCATGGGATTCTCCAGGCAGGAATACTGGAGTGGGTTGCCATTTCCTTCTCCAGGGGATCTTCCCAACCCAGGGATCAAACCGGGGTATCCTGCGATGTAAGCAGTCTTCACCAACTGAGCTATGAGGGAAGCCCTATTTCCTACAAGGAAGCCCTACTTCAATGAAGCTGATTTACAAGAAAGCAAAACCAAAACTGACCTTGAATTTGATCAAGCCTCTAGATGAAACAATGGGTCTATAGAGAATACTGGGAAGAGAGGGACATGTCACTTAACACCACAGAAGTGCAATCAGACAAACCCAAAATGTGCGGAACAGAACCAATTCAGAACAAATGGCCAGGGCTCTCAACACATAAATGGCAAGAACAAAAGTGGACAGGAGTGTTAGAGACCAAAAGACACATCAACCAAACTCAATGTATGGGCATTGTTTGGATCCTGATTGGAATAAACCACTAGTAAGATGGCATTTATGAAACAATTGTGGGAATTTGAATAATGTTTGTGTATCAGATGTTATTAAAGAATCATTGTTAAGTTTTTTGTTATGAAAGCGGTTTCAAGGTTGTATGGGAAAAAGAAGAGGAGATCCTTATCTGTTAAAGATATTATCAAAGGCCTTAGACGTGATGTCCCAGAATTTGTTTTGAAATAATCCAGCATGGGTGAAGGTTGAGGTCAGGAAAACAGTGGAGGGGGACAGATAAAGCACAATTGGCCATATGTTAATGGGTAGTGGCTACATGGGGGTCTATTTACTTCATTCTTTTTGTGAAATTTCTTTGTGAAAGGACAGGAAGTCCTTTTTTTAATCACCTAAACTGGTGATCGGGCTTCTCTGACAGCTCAATTGGTAAAGAACCCGCCTGCAATGCAGGAGACCCCGGTTCGATTCCTAGGTTGGGAAGATCTGCTGGAGAACGGATAGACTACCCACTCCAGTATTCCTGGGCTTCCCTTGTGGCTCAGCTGGTAAAAAAAAAAAATCCGCCCACAATGCGGAAGACCTGGGTTCGATCCCTGGGTTGGGAAGATCCCTGGGAGAAGAGAAAGGCTACCCACTCCAGTATTCTGGTCTGGAGAATTTCATGGACTGCATAGTCCATGAGGTTGCAAAGAGTCAGACACCACTGAGCAACTTTCACTTTCACAAACTGGTGATCAGTCCCTTGCAAAAATAGTTCCAAAGCCACCTGAACTTGGTGGCACCCCATTCATAGACCCTTCTCTCATGTCCCCACCTTCTCCATCAAAGTAAGCATCCTTTTAATTCTAATATCCCCATAAAGGCACTTGAAACCAATTGGTCATTGTCTTCTGACTCTGCATGTTCAGTCTACTGCCCCATGCCTCTTTTTACTCTGTGTTATCCCCAAACCTACCCTCCCTATGTCTATTTTTATGGATCTTAGACGAATAATGTGATTTCTTTTGCAGTCACCCTCTTGCCAGCCTCCAGCAGCCCACGCTACACATAACCACTCTTCTCTCCACCTTTTCTTCAATGGGTCTCACTCCTGATACCAGGAGTTTTCCAAGCCCCTAGTGGAAGCATACAGTCTTAACCACTGGTCTGCCAGGGAAGTCCCAACAGACTTTCTTATTCCCAGAAATCCTATAAGCATCTGGACCCAGCCTTGTTATATAATTTTAAAAGATTGAGAACACAGGGGAAACATTTATATTCATCATTCAAAGGATATTTCCTGAGTGCTTTGTAATGGTAGATACCACTTATCAAGTCCTGGGCAGGTAGCCCTTAGTCCTCAAAGCAACCTTGTGAAGAAGTGAAAGTGTTAGTTGCTCTGTCATGTCCCGACTCTGTGCAACCCCATGGACTGTAACCTGCCAGGGTCCTCTATCCATGGGATTCTCCAGGCAAGAATACTGGAATGGGTAGCCATTTCCTTCTCCAGGAGATCTTCCTGACCCAGGGATTGAACCCAGGTCTCCTGAATTGCAGGCAGATTCTTTACCAGCTGAGTGCTTTGTAATGGTAGATACCACTTATCAAGTCCTAGGCAGGTAGCCCTTAATGCTCAGGGTAACCCAACTAGGGTATCTACAAGGTAGATACAATTATCGCCATTTTATACTGGGCAAGAGGTACAGACACATCAAGTGACTTTTCCCACTCACGTGTTCTGTACCTGGCACAGCTGTAACCCAAAAGCAGGCCTATTATCCTCCCTAAGCCATGCTATCACTCTATTTTGGGATGAGCCTCAAGCCACCCCGTTCCAGAACATTCTTTCCCATGCAGGACTGCAGCAATACTGCCAGTAGGAAGACAGAAACCACTGTGGTTCATCCTATCACCTCCTCTAGGAAGCTCTCGGTGAGTTCCACCAGCAGAGCTGGCTGCTCTCTGCTCTGATACCAAAGCACTTTGCCAGCATTGCTGAACAACTATTACTTGCTTGTAATTACTTGTTTCCCACAAGAATGAACTCTCCGAAGGACAGGGACAATATCGCCTCCTTATTTTGGCACCTCTGGTGCCCAGAACAGTGTCTGGCATGTAGTGGGGATTCAAACAATATGGACTCGACGATCAAATGAACTGCACTGGGAAACATGTTACCATTCCAAGAAGCTAGTAGTGGAGCAGATGGCCAGTTGGCTTCTTCTTCTGGCCTTGGTGATCATTCCTCACTTCTCGTTTGCATGTTTATTTCCCCAGGTCCTATTTTTTTTTTGCTTGAATGTCTATGACATCTCCTGCTAACAGTTCTGTGCAACAGTGGCTCATTCTCACTAATCACCTTCTCCAAGTGATAGTCGTTCAGAATGAAAGTGTACCTCTTAAATTCAGAATCTGCCCATAGTGCTGTGTTTCGTGGGATCCATTTCATAGCAACCAGAGGGGTTCTTATATCTGGTGGGAAACAGTCTGTGAGGTTCAAATTTGGTGCCTCCTTGAGCTAATCCAATTGAATTATTCAGCATACATGGTCATGAACTTTTAGAAAGTTCAAATAATCAACAGAATGCAAATTTCAAGAAATCAGTCAGATTATTTTCTGCCTGTCAGTTTGGCAAAATTAAAAAAAAAAAAGTGCTGATGAGATTTGGGATATGAGAACAATCTTCCTCTGAGATAGCTTGAAAAAACATTAACAGCAGGCTTTTTAAAAGGTCTCCAGCTCTTTAAAGTTGATCCAACAGTTCCACTTCTAGGAATATGTTCTAAGCAAATAATAAAGATTTAACTACCAGGAGTATATAGCAATTTATTATAACAGAGAAAATTTGAAAATTATTTAAATAACCAGGAATAAGAAATACACAATGGAATATTAGTCGGCTATAAAAAAGAACACATTTGAGTCAGTTCTAATGAGGTAGATGAAACCGGAGCCTACTAGACAGGGTGAAGTAAGCCAGAAAGAGAAATGACCAATGCAGTACATTAACACATATATATGGAATTTAGAAAGATGGTAATGATGACCCTACATGCAAGACAGCAAAAGAGACAGATGTGAAAAACAGACTTTTGGACTATGTGGGAGAAGGCGAGGGTGGGAAGATACGAGAGAATAGCACTGAAACATGTATATTACCATATGTAAAACAGATGACCAGTCCAAGTTTGATGCATGAAGCCGGAAACTCAAAGTTGGTGAACTGGGACAACCCAGAGGGATGTGGTGGAGAGGGAGTTCAGGATGGTGGGACACCTGTACACCCAAGGCCAATTCATGTCAATGTATGGCAAAAACCACCACAATATTGTAAAGTAAATTAGCCTCCAATAAAAATAAATAAATTTAAAAAAAAAGAAATTAGTTAAATCAGTTAAGGTACATCCCAACAACTAGATGCCATTCAGTAATTGAAATTTGTATTTCCGGACTTCCCTCATGGTCCAGTGGTTAAGGATATGCCTGCCAATGCAGGGGACACAGGTTTGACCTCTGGTCTAGGAAGATTCCACATGCCACGGGGCAATGAAACCCGCAGGCCACAACTACTGAGCCCACCTGCCCTAGAGTCGGTGATCTGCAACAAGAGAAGGCATCACAATGAGAAGCCTGCGTACTGCTACTAGAGAACAGCCCGCCTACGGCAAGAAAGACTCGGCACAGCCAAAAACAGCTAAATAGTTTTTTTTTAAAAAACCTGATGCAGCCAAATAAATATTTTTTTAAATAATAATAATTTCTGTCACACTCTAACCTTTAAAGCATTTTCACTTTCGTTATCTCAGACAGTGGCTCTTACACTTTAGCATGCATGAGACTCCCCTGAGGATGTCTGTGAAAACGTGGGTTCCTGGGCTCTACCTCTGGAGGGTCTGTTCTAGAGGTCTGGAATGGGACCTGGGCGTTTAAATTTCTAACAAGCACCCGCTCCCAGGTGCTTCTCAGCAGGTGATTGGTAACCTATACTTTGAGTAGGTGCAGGCCCAGGAGACTGTCACATCTGGCCGGAGGCAGGCACATGTGACCAGGAGGTTCTCTGCCTACTTAATCTGCCCAGAAGAGACAATGTAGTAACACTGATCTTCTACAGGGAATTGGCTATATAAATAAGGTAACTTTCTTAACTGGAAGCGGTTAGAAAAGGGAAAGGAAGGAAGGAGACAAAGCCCTAAATGCACTCCATTCCACAAAAAAATGGGAGTGAAAATCCTACCAGTGAAATGGTAGTGAAAATTCCTACCAGTGAAAATCCCAACCAGCCTGCTGTCTTGGACATTCTTCTTCATCTCTTACCATTTGACACTTGGACACTGGGTACAGGTGAAGGGGACTCCATCTGCACTGCTTTTGGAAGGTGTAAGGAGAACTAGAGTGGGGCCTTTCATTTTCCAGACATAGGTGCACAGAAGGGAAGTGCCTGACCCAGAGTGGGTCACAGGCAAAACTGAAGTCAGGGCAAGAGGATCTCCCGATGCCAGGCTTGCACCCCAGCCCTGAGTGATGGAGCTTCCACAGCCCCGAGGGGTTGAGAGCAGACTTGGGTTTCCACAGGGCCTGAGATGGTGGGCCCTGCACAAGCCTGGAGTTACATGGGCAAGCAAATTTTCTACACAAGAGACCATCTCTTCTTGCCAAGAAAATGCCATTGTGACTTCAACTGGATGTTGAGGGCTAAGATGAGTGAAAGAGGTAAAATATGAATCAAAATGGTTAGAATATAAAGAAAATTGTTCCTTTTGCAAATATGCTACAAGTATTCTGCAACTAGGAGATAAAATAAGATTTCTGTGGGAAGCCTGTTGCACTTTTTCATGGCCTTATAAAAAACAAATTAATGCTAAAGATAGAAAAATGAATCATACATAAAACTCTTCTAATTACTAAAGAGATAAAATTTCCTTGAGACAGGGTGTGAAATTTGACATCAGTCAGAACTTCTGAAAGTATTCTAGAAGGTGAGACTTGGGGGTACCCAATCCTGAAGCATCCTTCCTCAAAAGAGAATATGACATTACCACTTATGAAGAGTGCATGTGGATTGCATGCTCAGTTGTGCCCAACTCTTTGCAATCCCATGAATTGCAGCCCACCAAGTTCTTCTGTCTATAGAATTTTCCAGGCAAGAATACGGGAGTGGGTTGCCATTTCCACCTCTAGGGCATCTTCCCGACTCAGGGATCAAACCCACGTTCCTGGAGTCTCCTGCATTGGCAGGTGGATTCTTTACCACTGAGACACCTGGGAAGCCAATTTATAGAGAGACTGGGGCTGATCCACCTGCCTGTATTTCTCTGTCATGACCAGGGTCACAAAGGGTAATGGGCTCAGAGAAGACAACTCAGAGATGCCTTGTGGGCTCCAAACCTTCAGTTGCTTCCATCTCACCCAATGACAAACCTTAATCCTGAATCAATACAATGATCCATCATTTTTGCTCCTGGGCCCAAGTTGCTGAAAATCCTCCCCCATTTCTTGAAATCTTTATATGGGCTCTTTCTCAATTCTTTCACCCATTTCCCACAAGAGATATTTCCAAATTTTACCATTCTCCTCGAGCTCTCAGCCCTTTGAAAATAAATGTGCCTGCTTGTGTCCACCTTCCAAAACTAACTCCCCCAGCCTGCTCTCTCCAGCCCTGCATCTCCCCTTCTTGTCACAGCCGAGTAACTGTCCTCCGTGCTCTCCTTCCTCCTGCTCCTCCCTCCCTGCTCCTCCACCCACTGGACTCTGCACCCTGTCGCTTCACCCAGTCTTCCCCAGCAGAGGTTGTCAATGAACTCTGTTGTGAAGGACACTTTTTCCATCTTTAATTGACCTCGCCTCTCCCTGACATTTGACAGGGTTGGTTACTGCCTCCGAGTGCTTCTCTCCTACCTTGGCTTCATGACGCTTCTCCCCTGCTGGCCCTCCTCTCTGACTTCTTATTTCCAGTGTCTTGTGGATCCTCTTCCTCTGCCCTCTCTTAAATGCTGGTGTTCCCCACGCTTCCCTGGGGCTCTCTTTTCTTGCAAAGGCATGAACTACTATTTAAAAGCTGAGAACTCAGAGATTCATGTCTCTGCCCAGCTCTTCCTCCTAATGATCCAACTGATTACTGAATGTCTCCACCTGGGTATCTCACTAGCTCCTCAATCCCCTGGTGTCCAGAGCCAAACTCATCATTTTGCCTACCAACCCCAACAGGCTTCTTGGCCTTCTGAATGAATGACACTACAATTCACCCACTGTCCAAGCCACAGACCTGGCATTCGGGCTTGACTTTCCGAATCTCGCTCCTCCCACCAACCAAAGGGCTACCACCTGGTCTCCCTACTTCTAGTCCTCACTCTTCAAGTCTATTTTCCTTACTTACAAATGATCTTTCTCTATGATCTTCAGAAGAAAGTTCAAACTCTTACACTAAAACCTTAACTGTACACTTAACCCAATATCTGAAGAAGGCAATGGCAACCCACTCCAGTACTCTTGCCTGGAAAATTCCACGGACGGAGGAGCCTGGTAGGCTGCAGTCCATGCGGTCGCGAAGAGTCGGACACGACTGAGCAACTTCACTTTCACTTTTATGCATTGGAGAAGGAAATGGCAACCCACTCGTGTTCTTGCCTGGAGAATCCCAGGGATGGCGGAGCCTGGTGGGCTGCCGTCTATGGGGTTGCACACAGTCGGACACGACTGAAGCGACTTAGCAGCAGCAACGCAATATCCTTAATGATACAGCTCCTGACTGCCACCCCTCTTTCATCTCTCATGTCCCCAGATCTCCTCCATTCCAAACATACTGAACTATTAGTACTTTAAATTTCCAGACTGTTCCGTGTTTCATGACACCTCTGGATTTTTTTTTTGTTTTTGTTCTTGCTGCTCCTCTTCTGAAATACCCTGCGTCCTGCTGCCCACTTAGTAAAAGACTTATCTTGAAGTGAGATGTTACTTGTTCCAGAAAACCTTCTCTACTCAAAGTAGTCTTTTGTCTCGGAGAAAGTTTCCCACTCCATGCTGAGTCAGCTGCCCTCTTCGGCACTTCCACAATCCCCTGAACATGCCCTATCTGAAATGTGATTGCTGACTGCCTTGCAGGTCTCCCTCACCCAACTGTAATCTTGACTAGTTAGGGACTGATTCACATGCAACTCCAGTTCCTAGTACATTATCTAATGTTGTTGTTTAGTCACTAATTAGTGGTCTGACTCTTTTGCAACCCCAAGGACTATAGCCTGCCAGGCTCCTCTGTCCATGGGATTTCCCAGCCAAGAATACTGGAGTGGGTTGCCATTTCCTTCTCAAAGGGATCTTCCCAACCCAGGGATTGAACCTGCATCTCCTGCAGTGATAGATGGATTCTTTACCACTGAGCCACCAGGCAAGTCCGACATTATCTAATAATTCTCAGTAAAGGTTTCATGAATGAATAAACAGAAATAGTCTCTTGAATAGCAGCCCCCTGCATGTCCAGGAGGAGTAATCCCAAGCAACATTAAATGTCTATACGTATATTTATACACACATAAACACACACACATGCACATGTGGTGGTGAAGCACCTTTAAATAAAGATCAGTGTGTATGTGTGTGTGAAAGAATGATACAGCTTATGGAGGATGACTCATTTCCCCTTACCTGACTCTCCCCTTTGCTTTTCCACTGTGATTCTTCACACTCAGATAACATCATTCTGCTCTTTCAACACTTGTACCTCTTACACACCATAACATTTCTCAATATTCTTACTCAGTATTCAGAACAATATTCTCATGACAGGTGTTTTGAATAGAATTCAGACTCTATTCAGAGATTAGAATCTATTCTAAGATTCTAAAAACTGCAAGAGAACTGCCACTTTCACACATTATCAGTTTCCAATCAGTCTTCTTTTCGCAAGGGTCAACCATCTCAACTCCTTTAGCTATGCCATAAGTGGCAGGTAACATGCTAGATCAGCCAATTTAAATTTTTACATACATTAAGTGACTATCATCTCAAAGATTTGAAATTGGCACCCACACAAAATTAATTATTAATATCCATTTCAATGACTCTCCTTCCCCACTCTGACTGAAGAAGGGTTTGTTGTTTTAAAAAGAAGCTGTCATCACATTACAAATTTTCAATTTGTGGTCATCCTGCCCCATCCCAAGATCTTCATATGCTAAACTTTAGGTCTTTCTAATCAGTCTTCATTTTTGTCAGCTTAATTAATTTGAAAGCAACCTGGGTTTTATTGTAGAACATTAACAATAATCCATGGATAATGTTAAATATTTTATGAATAGCTTAAAAACAATGTGTTTAATTAGCAATGTAATGTGTCATTCCATTAGGCTAGACATGCTAAATAGATCTGTATTTTAAACTGTATGATCACCTTTAAAGAACAAAGTATCTTGAAATAGTTGTCACAAGGCATTAATTAGCAATATGTAGGAGTTATAAAATAAAATGTGAAATTAACAAGGATGAGCAGTCTTTAAAATTATACTTTCAATTAGAAATTAAGTCTTTAGAGTGTCTAATTCTCATCTATCACCATCATGGTTATGTAGTCCTTATAATTAATTGAATTCGATTCTGGATCAATTGCAGCAGACAACATTTCTTCCATTTCCTCCTGAGAAAAAGGCTCACCTGGGAGGAACAAGAAGGGACACTCATCATTTACAATCATCTCATTTTTTTTTTCCTTTCTCTTTCCACTAGTCCACTGAATTGCCATGGAACCCCACCATCCCACACTTTGTTGCCAGTTACTCTCCCTGGGGCCATAAAGCCAGCACATCATGACAGTCCAGAGGTTCCGAGAGTTTGCTATTGTACTCCTGGCAAATTTTGGAGTTATTTTACCTTGCAGATAGCATAGTTCAAGCAACCTTTAGCATCAATCATTTCAGCCAAAACAGCAGGAGGACATGAAAACATCATAAATAAGGTTTTTTATTTATTTAAATTAAAATCACTAAAATTGCCAAAAAGGCAATTAAAAGGACTAACCTGAAGTCATAGTTTTATAGGAAGTCTAATCATTATATTTAGTAAGCATATTAAGAAAGGATTAAATCGTTGCTATGCAGAAAGGCTGAACAACATATAACATGGTTTAAAACTGTGAGAATGTCTATGAATATCCTCTAATGAGGGTAGGTTGATTTAGTGATTCAGGAGCACCCAGTGACCACAGTTTCCATTCACCAGTCATTTCAAACCAATCCTCTTTGTTATAGTTTGGCCCAGTGCTACTGTCAAATAAAACCAAAAGTGGATAGAAACTCTGTGAGCTTTAGTTGGGTTCAGATAACAACTGAAGGCCATCTTGGATACTGGTTTCACCAAGATGAAAAGCAAATTTAGGCAGAACACTGGAAAAGCTGTCATCTATTTAAGACAGGACTTTGTTCTGATGTTAAACCAAAATACAGAAACATCCAAATTGTCACCTTATTCCCAAAGAGTATTAATCCAAGCAGATAAATTTACCAAGGCCTGAGAGTTACCTACCTTACAAGCTTAAGTCACCTGCTACTACAAACCATGCCTTCTAAGGTGGAATTCAGTTACTAACACAGAAATTATTCAAGCGGGGGTTTTATCACAATGATGATAGTATTACCAAACAATGGGAACATGCTTGTGTTTTTCTGAAATCATGTTTACATCCTAAGCAAAGAAAGAAGGCCTAAAGTGCCTAAAAAGACAAATTCTTAATCTTTCATGTAACCTGACTGGTAAATACTAAATCCACTGCCAATGAACTTTGATGGATATGGGCGTCCTTATGAGAACACTGACAACAGATATTTATCAAGAACCACTGTTTGCCAGGCTGATTGAAGTGCTTCGCAGATATGAAGTTAATCTCCGAACCACCTCACGAGAGGTAAGAACCGTGCATCCCCGTTTAGAGCTGAGGACACCAGCACACGAAGAAAACAGGAGGAACTGGATCTGCATGCCGGCAGAACAAGTCAAGGTCTAGGGACCACACTCGGCCGCTTGGAACAAGGCCTTGTTCACAGTGAAGTTCAGAAGGTGGTCACTGCTTCCCCAAGCAAGGAAAGAAACAACTGGTATTTGATTAACGATGGGAGGAAAATAGCTTAATCATTAAAAGCACAAGCTTGGGAGCCAGACTGCCTGGGTCCAAATGCTCAACTGTTTGGTTAGCTTTAAGACCCCGGGCAAGTCCCTAACTCCTCTGTGTCTGTTTTCCTGTCTGTAAAATACTATCTGTCTCATGGGTTTGTTGTTGTTCTGTCGCTGAGTCATGTCCGACTCTTTGTGATCCCATAGGCTGCAGCATGCCAGGCTTCTTTGTCCTTCACCATCTCCCGGAGCTTGCTCGAACTCAGGTCCATTGAGTCAGTGATGCCATCACCATCTCATCCTCTGTCATCCCCTTCTCCTCCTGCCTTCAATCTTTCCCAGAATCAGGATCTTTTCTAATGGGTCAGCTCTTTGCATCAGGTAGCCAAATTATTAGAGCTTCAGCTTCATCATCAGTTCTTGCAATGATATTCAAGATTGATTTCCTTTAGGATTAGCTGGTTTGATCTCCTTGCAGTCCAAGGGACTCTCAAGAGTTTTCTCCAACACCACAGTTCATAGGCTTGTTATGAGTATTTGAATTGTTATTATTTGAATAGCACTTAGAACATTGCCTGGCACATAGGCAGCAATATGTGTTAGTTTAGAAAAGTTCTTTCGAGATCTTTTCTGCTAATAGACACCATATACATACCTAGACACATGTCAACTTCTATCCTGTAGGAGTTTGATTCAGTGTGACTTATGTTCGTCATATAACATCTTGGGCATTTAGAATGCATATTCTCAAACTGATTAATATTCTGTGGATATTGTGAAAAGCTGCACTGTCTCTGGATGCACTGTGGTCTGATTCCTCTATTTCAGTGAGTACCATTACCCTGAGGTATTTTGTCAAGGCTGTATATTGTCACCCTGCTTATTTAACTTATATGCAGAGTACATCATGAGAAATGCTGGGCTGGATGAAGCACAAGCTGGAATCAAGATTGCTGGGAGAAATATCAATAACCTCAGATATGCAGATGACACCACCCTTATGGCAGAGAGTGAAGAGGAACTAAAAAGCCTCTTGATGAAAGTGAAAGAGGAGAGTGAAAAAGTTGGCTTAAAGCTCAACATTCAGAAAACTAAGATCATGGCATCTGGTCCCATCACTTCATGGCAAATAGATGGGGAGACAGTGGAAACAGTGTCAGACTTCATTTTTTTGGGCTCCCAAATCACTGCAGATGGTGACTGCAGCCATGAAATTAAAAGACGCTTACTCCTTAGAAGGAAAGTTATGACCAACCTAGACAGCATATTAAAAAGCAGAGACATTACTTTGCCAACAAAGTTCCATCTGGTCAAGGCTATGGTTTTTCCAGTGGTCATGTATGGATGTGAGAGCTGGATTGTGAAGAAAGCTGAGCGCCGAAAAATTGATGCTTTTGAATTATGGTGTTGGAGAAGACTCTTGAGAGTCCCTTGGACTGCAAGGAGATCCAACCAGTCCATCCTAAAGGAGATCAGTCCGGGGTGTTCATTGGAAGGACTGATGCTGAAGCTGAAACTCCAGTACTTTGGCTACTTCATGTGAAGAGTTGACTCACTGGAAAAGACCCTGATGCTGGGAAGGATTGGGGGCAGGAGGAAGAGGGGACGACCGAGGATGAGATGGCTGGATGGCATCACTGACTCAATGGGAATGAATTTGAGTAAACTCTGGGAGTTGGTGATGGACAGGGAGGCCTGGCGTGCTGTGATTCATGGGGTTGCAAAGAGTGGGACACGACTGAGCGACTGAACTGAACTGAACCACTACCCTAACACCCACTACCCAGGCCAAAGCCTTGTTATTTTGACTCAGCTCCCATCTTTGTGCCCTGCACTTGGTTGCTCATCGTACATAACCTATGGATCTTGCTGCAGGCAGTACTATTGTATCAATCCCTTCTTTCCATTCCCATTGCCACTGCTAGATATAGCCCTTATTAGGATATCTTCAAAATGCTGAACCAGCCTCCTAACTGGTCTCCCCCAATCTAACCTTTTTCTTGCTCTTCTCACAAGCCTACCAGCACCAGGTCAACCTTCCCACAATCCCTCTTGCACTGTGCAGCTCACCTGTTCAAAACCCTGCAGTGCTTCTCCATTGCCCATAGGATAAAGTCTCCTGAGCCTCAGCCTCCACAATCTAGTCCCGGTTAGTCTACCTAGATTCATTTCCTACTGTTTGCCAACAAGACCCTCTGAGTTTTCTCAGTCTCCCAAAATATCATGCTCATTTATCATGCTCCCAGTCTTTGTTCATGCTCTTTATCAATCGATGTCTTCCTCTCATCAGCTCCTTCATCCATTCTACCTCACTCATTCATTAATTTAACAAGCACTTGCTGAGATGCATGATGTAAGGGAGTGCTATAATGCATAATATTTTAGCCCTTCTCCTGATAACTCACCCATATTATTCTACCATCTTCAGAAAACCTATTTTCTCTTTAAGTCTTCCCAGACCAAGCTTTCCAGGCAGATCCAGACCACACTGATCTTCTGATACTCACTTTTTCCTACTATCTTACATTTTGAATTATTTTATTCCCTCCTGTAAGACTATAATCTCCTTGAGAAAGGGAGCAGGTTTTAGTATTATTACTCTCACTGTTCTTGCATCCCTTACCTACACATAGTAGGCACAACCCAGTAATGATTTGGCCATTTTGACTAAATTCATATTGCCTGATATAACCTAGTATTTACTTCCCTTAGCTTAATCCCTAAGCTGATGCTTTGAAACATCACATTTCCATCAAAGTTCATCCCTAAGATAATTTTAAGAGGGTCATGAGTTCTTGGGTGGCAGCTATGACGATCATGCCATTCTTACTGATCTCACCCTCTGTATTATCACCTAATGGTGGATCAAGTCAAAATGGTCAAACCAGTGAGACACGGAGACACAGTCTTAGTCTTCCATACTCAAAATTTCATGCACTTCTGATTGTCTCAACTGATTGGCAACTCTGAATTACTCAGGACTCATCTGTGAACTAGTGAACTGAAGAGAGAGAGAGTTCTAACTTTATATGGGAGGAGGGCAGGTGACCAATGAGAAAGTTTTCAACAGCATGCCCATTAGGCTACTGACATTCAGGGAAAACGAGTTTACACATCAGCCTAAGCAGAGAGAATTCCTAAAGAAAATATGTTGGCCTATATAGGTGTGTAGGTAATATGTATAAGTGTGTGTGTGTGTGTGTACAGTTTAAATGCAAAGCAAAAATATATGCTATCATTAGCATAAAAAATGAAAAATTTTATGGAATTCATATATACATTTGAGGCTGTATTGCCCCTAACTTTACCAACTGAAAAGATCTTTAAAAAAGGAATTTTGAGGCTTCCCTGGTGGTCCAGTGGTTAAGAATCTGCCTTGTAATACAAAGGACACCAATTCGATCCCTGGTTCAGGAAGATGCCATGTGCTGCAGAACATCCTGCAAGTGCCTGTGCCACAACTATTGAGCCCTTAGAGTCCACAACTACTGTAACTCCTTAGAGTCTATGCTCTGCAACGAGAGAAGACACCGCAATGAGAAGCCTGTGCACCACAACTAGAGACGTGGCCCTTACTCACCTACTGTAACTACAGAAAGCCTGCACACAGCAATAAAGACACACCACAGCCAAAACAGTAATATAAATAAATCTTTTTTATTTTTTAAAAAAAGAATTTTTATAGACTCCAGTTGAAATCTTCAATCTAGTAACAAGCATTGATTTATAGTGATTGATAGTTCATGTTTTCCTGGTGACATACCTTTTATTCTGGAAATACTCTAAGTGAATGAAATGACTTCAATTTATAGAAGTATCATTATACTTTACAAAATCCTATAAGGCAGTAATCCATCCCCTCTAAACTTATCCTTTGTCCTCTTATCCACCACAAAACTCCAAAACCAAAGTAATAAGAATACTAAGTAACTTCTTTTAACTGGCATGATTAAAGTACCCTCCAGCACTTTTGCATAGCTGTTTTAAAATTATTGATCACTTAAGTAAGTCACTGTTACAAGTAGTAAGACTTCCCTACTGGCCCACACAGTGAGAACCCGCCTGCAGTGTAGGAGACCTGGGTTTGATCCTTGGGTGGGGAAGATCCGCTGGAGAAGGGAATGCCAACCTACGCCAGCATTCTTGCCTGGAGAATTCCAAGGACAGAGAAGCCTGGTGGGCTATAGTCCATGGGGTCGCAAAGAGTAGGACACAACTGAGCGACTTTCATTTATAAGTAATGAATCATTCTCACCTTCTTCAGTCATATACTTTATCAGTTCGTCCTTAGTAAGAAATCCACGTTTAGCTGGATCTAATACCTAGGGGGAAGGAAAAGACAGATACTCTGTTTTTTGGTGAAAATTCCACATGATGAATTTTTTCATGTAAATATAAATATATGTAAAATTTATAGCTTACAAACCTCAAAAGCTCGAAGAAGGATATCTTCCGGAATTGGTCTATATCTAATTATGCAATAAAAGAAGTAAACATCACAGTATTTAGCTCAATCTCCAAATAACAAATGCTCACATTAAAAAAAAGTAATAATAAAGCTGCTAGCATACAGGATAGTAGTTCATCCCTCACTGAAATATTTTTGGATTTCTAGATAATAAAGTTGAAAGTACTCCATACCCACAAGGTATACTTAGTTAAATGTTATCTGTTAGCTTTTTTTCATCATTATGGGAACAAAATTCCTATAGTAAACAAACTATGGTAAGCTAATGCTACACTTGGTCTAGAAAAATAATTAGGGTTAATTCTTATTTATCACTGATAATTCAAACAGAAGCTAATAAGGATGTTGTTGATTTATGCTTTTTGCAGCTTATTTGCCCTTTAATTACACTTTGCTTATCAGATTAATACTGAAGTGGTGGATATTTCTGGAAACATACCAACTGGCAGTTCAGAAGTATAGAGAAAAACTAGGAGGGAGCTATTCTGTGATAAACATTGGCTGAGTATAACATACAAAGTGAAAAGGCCAAGTGTTTTGAAATTAATGCAGTTCCAATCATTACCTCAACAAGTGTATTTACTTTCTTACCTCCTTTCCAGGAGCACTTCAGTCATCACTGGTAGAAATTTTTCAAATCGAATGTATCCAGTTGGTTCTTCTTCCTCTACCTGAACAGTCAGTAAAAAAACAGCCACTTATTCATTCAGCAAATGTAGTGAGCAACTACTTTTTCCAAGCGCTGTGCCAAGTACTGGGGATTTGATAATGAGCATACTTGGGACATGGTCCCCGCTCACAGCGTTTATATTCTGGTAGCGGAGACACAAATCCATTAAAAAAACAACAAAGCCGAGTGCCTGGTTATAAGCTTATGTAAGAAACAATGAAATAAAGGAGCAAGGCTCTAGTAGAGCATAGAATAAAGGAACCTGTTCTTGGCCAAATTATCAGGAGATGCATTCATAAAGAAATCACACTTGAGTTGATTATTATAAAGGATGAGTAAAAGGTAAGCAAAAACAGCAGGGAAAGGCACTCCCAGGTAGATGAAATTACAGGCATTAAGACCTTGTGGGCTGCACCGGAGGCCAGGAGGCTGAAGCACACGGAGCGAGGAGGAGAATGTTTTCAGATGAGGCTGGAGAGAGAAATGGGGACTATACCATGCAGGGTATTACCATCCATGAACATGACTTTGGTTGTTATCCAAGACACTGTTACCCTAAATCACTGAAGATCTCATAGCTGTGTGTCTGAAAGGTCACACTGGTTGTGGGTGAGGCAGCTTCTGCAGTAGTCTAAGCAGATATGACAAGGGCTGGGATTAGAGTGGTAGCCATGGGGAGAGAAGGTGTTTTCAAGAAACACTTAAGACATAAAGCCAAGAAAACCTGGTACTGTATCTATTACAGGCAAGGATGAGGGGAAAAAAAGAGGGTCAAGGACAACTCCCAGGATTCTGACTTGAACAAGGACTTCCCCTGACATAAGGAACACTGGCTAAGAGACCAGATTAGGGGACCAATCAATCTCAAGGACTGTACTATTCATTAAATAACTAGATGCTCTGTGGAACACTGTTACACCACCGCTAATTAAGAGAGGACAACACCTAACAATTTTGGTACCCAGAACGGTTAGATGAGAATGAGGAAGACTCATGCTCACAAGGTACAGCTTTTGATGGTGTGGCTGAACAGTACGCTATTGATTTTCAATTTCATGTCAGGCTATTTATGAGAAGTTGTAAATTTTCCACTCCCTTTCAAAAATCCTATTAAAATGCTCACACATCCCAATTCAACAGTGGGGATTTTAAAAGATTTATTCTTTGAGCAAAAGATAAGAAATCTATAGGTGCTGCTTAGTGGAACACACAGTCATCAAATGACAACTATTTTTAATGTTTATACTAGATTCTCACCTACTATGAGGTAAGGCCTTGGACTCCACTATCAGTAAAAAAATGTCATCCATCTAATGACAAAATGATGTGTTTCAGAATTTCTGAGCCTATCAATAAATAAGCAATTGTTTTCAGCTGCCTCTAGATCCAAGGCAAGCAATTTGCAAATCAATGTTCATGTGGCTCTGGTTCAGACGTGCTTGAGTAGCACTCTGTAACTCCCAGCCCCAACAAACTGCTTAAAACTAAAATGCCAATCTCATGAGACTGCCTCCAGAGGGATAATTTTTAAATTAAAATGTTGTGTTTCTATTCTGATTAATCCAGAAATCTGTTCCAGAAGCTAGAGCTAGAGTTTGTTTCCCTTTCCCCGTTCCCTCAACAAACTGCAGAGCCAACAGTCTTGACCTTGGAAAATCAAAAATCCTATTTTATGAGCATCCTCATCAATCCACAAACGGTTCATAGTTTTTCCAAAGGGAGTTAACTCTATAGCACACTCTCCATCATGTGAGAAGTCACAGACAATCCCTCATAACGCCTACCCCACCAAGGTCATGCTCCTGGACAACTTCCACAAACCCTTGGTGCTCTGAACACGGGTGAAACGCTATTCTGTGTACAGCCAGATGGCCTGATGGATCTGTACAGAGCTAAACTTCACAAAAATAAGAAGTTAAAACAAAACTCCAATGAATCAGGATAGCAGATGAGGTATATATTTTCCTTGATTTTTTTAAAGAGGGATAATGAACAAATAAGGCCTTGGAGTTAAAAAAGTAAGAAGAAAAATATGTAAGTCCATCTTCAACTTGGACAGATTGTGAAAATCTTTCTATGACAACACTGTCCTCTAGAGGCCACATCTAATCTTTGTGTATTAAGAGATATAGAAGTAATGGCATAAAAAATAGCACAATTATATAATATTTCTAAATACAGCATTAATGAACTGTATAACATATACTAGACAGTACCTTATATTATTAAAAGTTTTTATTATTTAAATAAACGTGTGTTAGAATAGATTTAGGTTTACAGATAGTAGAGAGTTCTCATATACCTCCCAGTTTCCTCTGTCGTTTACCCTTGCATTATTATGGTAAAACTATACTTGGTTCATTGTAACATCCATTGAACCAATACTGACGTATTATTATTTACTAAACTCCATGTTTTATTTTGATTCCATTGGTTTTTTTAAAAGGCATTTTTAAAATAGGGTACCATTCCTCTATCATAAAAGAGAAACAAAGAAAAGCAGGATAGTATAGCCCGCCTGACAATCTAGAAATGGGTGGATAGAGGGGAGGATAATAAGTGCTTCTATTACTTCTGGTGCAGGACAAACTAGCTGACTTTATGAGGCCATGAGTAAGATAGGACAAAGACACTACTTTCTATAAATGTTATGCAATAATGGCTCAATGATTATTTAAATTCACATATTAAAATGCCTTTAAAATTTAATAGAAATATATCAGATATTGAACTACACTTTATCATATATTGTATATAAACATATATAGATAGTTATGGGTTGAGTTATATCTTCCCCAAGTTCGTATGTTGGAGTCCTAATCTCTGGTACACCCCAGAATGTGACTTCTTTGGAGAGAAGGTACTCACTGAGGTAATCAAGTTAAAATGAGGTCATTATGGTGGGCCCTATTCCAATATAACTGATGTCCTAATAAAAAGGAGAAATCTAGATACAGAGACATGCACACAGGGAGAATGTCATGTGAACATGAAGATAAGCCTCTACAAGCCAAGGAGAAAGGCCTAAAACAGATTCTTCTCTCCTAGCCAACAGGAGGAACCAACTCTGCTAACACCCCAATTCTGTACTTCAACCTTCCAGAACCGTGAGACAATAAATTTCTGTTATTTAAGACTCAGTCTGCAGTACTTTGTTACAGCAGTTCTACCAAGCTTTATACGCTTGCACACAAACATTGTTGTGAGAGATATGACATAAAGGTACTTTGTAAACTGTGAATTATTATGATTATTATTGTTTTAATCAGTAGTGTACACACTTCTGGTTCTATATTCTGCAGTGACACCTCCTCCTAACAGAATTGATCTCTGGTGCTAAAATTTTAGACACGATCTCCTTGACCCACCATAGGGAACTGTTTTTTACAGAAGTCTGATCCTGCCTCCTCTCTGTAAAATGCCACGTGGAATGTGGCATGAATGTATTAAACTGCTAGGCATATCTAATCCCTTGTCCCTCACCCCTGAACCCTTGTCTAGAGGAGAGGGTCTGCAGATTAGCAGCCGTGATGTGTCCACTTCTTCTGTTCCCCTGCTTGCTTCCCAGACTGAAAGGAGAGGAGAGTAACAGACAGCCATCTGTCATATCTTCCTCCTCTTCAAAAGACAAAAACAAAAAAACCAAATATATCTTGTTACTATGTATGTGAATGAGGCAAAGTAAGTTCTAATCTGGTCAGTTCATCTAAGAGAAAGGCTAATGTGCTAGAAAGAAGGTAATAATTAGAAAGTCCGCTCGGGAGCATTTATGAATGCAGAGGAAATAAAACTTCTTTGCAGGAAGACCTCCAGCTTAGCCTTCAAGTACCATTTATAGAAGGAGCTCATCTTAATAGCCAGCAGGTGTCTACCTGGAAGAAGACCGACACCCCAAAACACCTGGCTTCTCTTCCTCCAAAGAACTATGGTGGCGGAGGCAATCTGAAGAAAATACCCTGCTTCCCTGATACACGAAGGGGCCTGCCTCCACAGGCTAGCACAGGGCCTCCAGCCATTCCAGTCTCTTTGCATCCTCCGGCCCAATAAGGAGCCATCTCAATAAATATGTATATACTGTGTGATTATTTTTATATCAGCAGTTACCTAAGTTTCAAAGCATGAGGCAAATACTGTTTCTCACTCTACCTTGGTAAAAGACAGTTTTTTCCATCTGTTTTGCATCTGAGGACATTCTGGCACAGAGAGGTAAAGTGCCCCTCGTGGTCCTCAAGGCCAGTCAGGTGCTGTGATGGGACCGCAGCCAGAGTGCCTTCTCCCATTCCCACAGTGAGGTCATCAGGCCATCTCTTTTCTCATTAAAGCATTATTTATTTTAATAGTGAACTCTTTGAATAGGCACAATAAAACACACTGAAGATTCATTTCTCCCCAGGGACATACAATCCGTCAATAAACTGAACTGTTTCATGCTTCACAAAAGCAAGATAATACCAGTAGTTAAGATGGTTAATAAAGCACCTACATTTCATCTAGTTCCAGGTCACCAAATAAGACATACATACGAATTTTTTTTAACTATTTGTAGTAAAAATATAAAAACAATGAGATATTTCAAGTTAGACTTGAATATCACATATGCAAATTTTGACATAAATTGTGTTTCAAAACCAAAACACTAATACAATTTAGAAAATACTTCTCTGCCTTGGATGGAATAAAATAATAACAAAAATTCACTAGCATTTACCAATTAGTCTTACAAATGAAAAATCCTAAAGTTACCTGCTTTAGAAAAATTATTTACTACAAACATCCCAGATGCTGTTGTGTAAAAATTGGGATAAGTACTCCTTTGGGGTTATAAGTCCCTTTCTTATTATAAGAGGTATCAAACAAGACTAACTCATCCTTTGGGTGGACTATCAGAGAGTCTAAGAATCAACAGGTGGCTAGACCAGGTGATCAAAAAGGTCCTTTCCAACTGTTCAGTTCAGTCGCTCAGTCGTGTCCAACTCTGCGACCCCATGAATCGCAGCACGC